CTAGCCAACACCTGCTTTATAATCTCAATACTTTACTTAAATCCAATAGAGTCTGTGGCTCAGTGTCAGGAGGAAGATGAGAGTCACAAGATTCAATGATGTTGCAGAAGGAAGGCAGGTTGCTACTAGTTTTGCGCCGATGCCATATTTTGGCCCCCATACCAATACCTGGCTGTGCAGTATCGGCCGATACCGGTACCATCTGTTTGAAACTGATGTGTGTGTTTATATAAAGAACTGCATGCTACTAGGATGTAAAATAATTGCCATCATGGCTTTTTCAAGCTGCTGCCTACCTTTGTAAAGCAGGAAAAAGACTAATACAAAGTGAATCAAGTAGAACTTTTTATTGTCTACCTGGAATGGGTGATAATGGTTGAATAAACTTTTGGCTCTCAACATTTTCGTGCAGTATCGGTATCGGTGCAACACTAGTTGCTACCTGGGCTTCATGACCACCTCTGCGACACTTGAGTGCGATTTCCTCCATGACACACTGCAGTGAGGCAAATTATACAAAAGGAGCCGACTGCAGGTCACAAAGAGGATCCTCGGTATCGGATTTCTGTATCTGTTTATTTTTTAAACAGATTTTTTAACAAGTCTCATGGAATATTTTGATTTTCAGAGAAACTAAAGAGCAGAGAAATAATGAATGTTTTCTCTTTTTGGAGCACAAAAGTAAAAAGTAACAAACCAATAAATTACTCAAGTAAAGGTGAAAACATATTCAGTAAGAAGACTAGAAAGTACTGAGAATCTAATTATAATATGTGATTTAATATTTGTAAAATCTAATAGGTAAAAAAAAAAGTTCAATGCAAATTATGCAGAATTCTGATTCTTTTCAAATACATGATTCAAAAAAATAAAATAAAAAAGATTTAAATCTGAATCTTTCAAAATAGAACTTATGAAAAAGTCATTATCTTACTAATTGATAAAGATATTTTGATATAATTGTAGTTTCTCTGGTGCATTTGTGGTTAAACTCATTTGCTATTTGCAATGGCCACAAAATTTGCTCTAGTAAAACTAGCAATACTTTTAAAAAACTATTTTCAAAGAAATTGAAAAGTAGAGTTTAGTAGAACAACTCCGTAAAATAGATTTAGTTTAAAAACTATAGTATAGTATAGCAGGTCAAATCTTAAAATGCATCTGTTGCTATCTGCAGCATTATTACCATTAAATATAAATCCCCTCGAGATACATTTTGTACTTTTTCACTCTAAACAATCAGTATCTCTTCTTGCTACAATGGTTTTATGAACAAGTTTGCATTTCTGCAGCATGTGGGTTGAATTTCCTCTTTCCTGTCAGTAATTCCTCCTTCTCGTTTCTCCATATCTTCAAAATCCCACTCCTGTTTGCATGTGTTGTATCCTTAGTGTCATATCCTCTTTATGGTAATATGATAAAAAGTCTTAATATGGTTAAAAGAATCACTGTTCAGCATCAGACCAAACTATTAACATAAAAATTAGTGTACTTTTTGTGTTTCCAGCCACCGTTATTTTTTCAGTCTCTTACTTTATGCTGGAATATAGTGAAGGGTGTCGTCTGCTGCACGTGGACTCTCACCGCCTACATGCATGTCTATTAAAAGTCATGGCTGGTGGGCATTCCACGTGCTCCACCCTCTGTGTGTGGTACCTATTTTCCAGTCTGCAGTCTGAGCCTTTCATCCTAACCACTTCTCTTTCTCTCTCTGGTTGTTAAAAAGTTTTTTTTTTTCCCCCTTAATCCAAACCAATGTTTTGGGGATAACAGCAAAGAATGCTCCAGTGGTTCACTGCTCCTGCTGTTGCTTTTACTAACACTTTCTAATTTATTTCCAGCCTCATTCATGCTCATGCCGGCCTGTTGAATTGTAGTTTGCAGTGCACTAACCTCAGAAATAAGAGCCCTTCATGCATATTCATCTGAGTAACTTGGAGCGCTTCCTCTGATTTGTAGAAAATTAGAAATATGTGCAAGAGATTTTCTTTTTTTAGGATTATTCAAAATTATTGCATGAATTGTGTCTCCTCTTTTCCACTTTCCAGAAATGAATTTTGACCTATGTGTGCTGCGTTATTTAAATGTACATAACCAATCGGTTAACAGCTAATGGGTTTTTGTTTTTGCTCACAATCTCTTCAATCATCACAATACCACAAGAGAAGAAAAAAAAAACATTCCCAGACAGAGACAAAAACACACCGAGAACCACACTGACCTTCCCTCCCATAAGCCTATGTAAATGTTATTAAAAGTAATAGGATAACATGTCCAATCAAGGCCTACAGGCTCATTATCCTGCGACCGAGCAGAAATTACTCAGGAGGATGGAGCTGATAATGAGGAGATTTGAGGAGAGCAGCACCTCAGTCAGAGAGGCAGCCATTCAAAGCCCTCATGCTGTCCTTCAAGTGATATTCCACACACTCTATAATGATTATATCATCTCTATTTCTAGCTTTAAAAAGTGTTTTAAATTAGCTGTTTGCTTGTTTTTTTTTTGCCAAAGAGTTCTGGAGTGACACAGTGAAGAAAAAGGAACCCAGTTAGCGCCTTAAAAAGGAGTGCTATCTCCTGTTGTACATGGGTGGTTTGGTTTTTTTCAGTATTCCACATAATTTTAGTTAAAAAAAAGTTTTTGATGATGATTTTTGTTACTTTCCAATTACTTAAGAAAATATTTTAGTGCACCATCGAAGCACTTATTGGCCCCACAAGGTACAGATATAAACAATGCCTGGATATAAACGTTTCTACAGGTAGTCTCTGACATAGGACTGAATCTATGGGGCCAAAATTGTTGCTTTATTATTTACAAATGTGTGTGGAGAGTTGTATATCTGTATCTCGATTTGTGCGTGTGCA